TTCCAAGCACATTTCTCCAACAATCTCAGAACAGCTCTCTTAGAAATACAGTAACACATAAGCTACCAGTCATATACCCCCAAATAAGTGATTACAACCAACCATGATGGGGCAAGGGTACACAAAATAGAATAAACACACCAACAGGGGTGCCTAACTGTAATACCAATGCATAACAATCACAGAAGGGGACTGGGACTAAAAGTAACTGTGGAAAAACATTATCTTGACCAGATAATTTCAGGCCAAAAACAAACTACTACGTAAATAAATGCTCTGTTCAGTAGTTACACAGGTATGGGTTGACAGTTATGAAACTGTGGATACTAGAACTGAACATGTGAAGAGACTGTTCATGACAGCTGAGTTTCTCACCATAAGAGAAAGATGCTACAACCAAGGAAAGGCAAGCAAGACTGGACTGGAGTCTGAAGACAAATTTGCAGAACGTGGATGTCTGCCCACTTCCAGTGACACTCTGGCAGTAATGAGTAAGTACATCCAGTGCCCAGATCCTGATTCAAAATACCACTCACCAATAAAATGAACCAGGAACCAAAGAAATGGTGGACCCAGTACTGCGAGAGGCAAAACACAAGATGAGTGCGGGAATGTTCTGGTGTCACAAAATAAAGACACAGCCATGGGGGAGGAAGAGGGGGCCTACCTGACAGCCTAATAATCTGCATTATAATCTGTAGAGTAAAATGCCTGAGTCCATAAAAATATAATCACCTAAGTTCAGAACAATAGCTATTCCTCGAAGTAGAATTCTGATTAACAGATGCAGAAGAAAACAAACTACTACAGTAACAGTGTTTACGGACAACATGCCAAATTTATAAATCAAAGTCTGAGGAGGAACCTCCACAGTCTCAAAGAACCTCCAAGATACTTGCCAACTGCAAGGGGAAGACAGGAGCTTTGCAGCGGAGAAACCTGGTAGGAACCATTTACCCACGTGACGGTCATGATTACCTCTGATGAGATGGATCGATCCCACAGCTCCGTGATGCACTATGAGTGCATCATTTCTGTGGTACCCTTGCTGAAATGCAGCCTCATTCCAACTGTGAGAATCACCAGACAAACCCACAACTAAGTTGCCCTTTGCAAGCCACTGCGCAGGTGGACGGGAGCGGACTGCAGCCCTCCAGCTGGCACCAGGCTCCAACTGGAAATCATTTTCATGGCTGGTGCCAGTCAGACACACAATCAGCTTAAAAACAAGATAAAGCCTAGAGCAAGGCACCCGTGGGAGCTGACTAAGAGCTTCAAGTGAATTGATTTTAAGTAGCTGCAGCTGTGGTTAGAGTATTTTTAGCCACAGGACTCAGCCAGCTTTCAAAACCTGCTAATAAGAGCTCCACTATAGTCAGCCATGTAAAACTAGCACAAAAATCATTTAGCTTTTAACAATCTGACACCAAAAATTTGCTGAGCTAGAAGCTGGCCGAGCAGGCAAACGGGAGGAAAGGAACATCTCCCACTGCAAGGTTAGATAGAACACACAACTACGGCTTCTGAAAGTCAAACTCCAAAGTAAATGTCTTCTGCTTCTACTTTAGCATTATACATGCATTTTGGACAAATCTTTTCAGGATTTAAAGATAAACGGAAGCTAACGATAGTGCTAACGATATTCACACCACCAGCATACTTTGGAGATATTTTCTGAAGTTACTGGGGCCTGAATGGATCCGACAGAGCCACGCCGATGAGAGCAGAGCAGCCATGCTAACCCATGCTGGGGCCTGGCTGCCTGGCTCCTGAAGGCTCCAGGGCTGCCAAGACGCCACAGGGTGAGGCTGGTAGGAGCCCCCAGACGTTTCCCGGGCCAGGTATAAACACGAGGAAAGAGGACCTGCTGGTACAAAAAGGCCCCGTGAAAGCAGCAGAAAGACAGCTTCTGGGGGAGGAGGCTGGCTGGTGGCAAAACCAGCACCTTCTTGCTCCCCCAGGCAAACATGACAGAGTCTGGAAGACAGTAAGTGCCAGTCCATCTTTACTGGAGTGAGTGCAGGAGACAGTTTACAACAACCTCTAGCATTGTCTTAACCATTTGATAGAAAGTTCACTATAATATTTATTATATAATGAAGAAAAAACAACACATTCAGGGAAAAATTGAGATTAACTTATTTTTCTTAAAAGGTTCATCTCAATGATGGCAACAAAGTCCAGCTTGTGCCGCCAAACGGTTTTACATGATCAAACCGTGTACAGCTTCTTGTGTGAACTGTTGACTACAAACATTTACCAAATACATAAATCTCTTTTAAAAAAAGCCATTTTAAATATAGCAAAGCAGTGTCTTCTTGCACAGCAAAGTGAAGAAAGTTTCTACAGAGAAATAAAAGTTTTACATTTGTAAAATCATTTTCACATTCTAATCATCTAGCTTTTTATGATCCAATGCCAGGAGTTTTCAGGTTCCTTATTTACTATGTATTTCTTGTGCGCATGATGGTTATTACAGAAATTATGTTAATGTATTAGTAGTTGTCCTTACAGTTAAAAGGAAATGGTAAAACATGAATTGTTCTTTTAGAACAAACCCCTGATTTAGTCTATAACACAATGGACATAATTAGGGCTCAAAAGATGGAGTTTTGATTGGGACCATCTGTGTACACACAATGGTGACTTTCACTCTTAGTGCAGTACCAGTTAGCGTACTGAAGGAAGTGCAGCTGTTGGGAACTTTCTGTATCCAGTACAATGTAAGCTTTTTTTGTTTTTGTTTTTTTAGTAATAAAATACTTCATCTGAAGGGATTAAAATTTTCCTGCCATGGTGTCTTATACAAAACACGTAAGTCTAAAAGGGTAAGAAAAGTTGGTTTTAAAGCAACACTATTAGTGTCTTCACCACCCTAGGCTGGTTTCCGCCAAGAGATGTGGATATGGATGTGTTTGCACATGAGGGGCTGAGGGAAGTGTTGAGTCCATATGCTCCAAACCACACTAGGCGTATGGAAAGGTTAACAGTCAAATATTCAGCTCCTGAAAATGGAATACATTGTTCCTTGGTCAGTGTAATTTAAATACAAACTCCGAGCCTTGTGTAATATTGTTTTAGAAAACAGTAGTACTGATTATAAACCTGCATAGAAAGAAAGACTATTGAGATACAGTCAGAAAAGCCATCTCATAAGGCACACAAGAAAATAGACAGTAAATGTGAATGTGTTAACTCCTATTCCAATATACAGCAGAAGTTCATGAACATGCATAAATAATAACGAAAGGCTCATTTAACACTTTCAAAGCTATAAATGGTTTACAAAGTGGTAAGGATTATCTTGGAAATTCAGTGTTGGGAGACTGTCTTTGACTATGTGTGACCTTATGAAGAAATGTGCCCGTAAGCAGGCCAGTAAATTAAGTATATTTTAAAAGAAAAACCAATCCTTTTTTGAATAAGAGCCAAATGTTAATGCTGAAGAGAGGAGACAGCTTTACATCATCCCTGCCCCTTTTTGGCTTCTACCAAAACTTAGTAGCCATTAAAACACCAATTTGCATTCTGCAGCCTGTGTGTGCCACAGGCTTATCCTGCAACTAATACCTATGTGTCAGTCAGGAAATCTGGCTGATGATTTGTCACAAACAGCAGATGAGGAAAATGTCAAAAAGAATGTAATTTAGGGGGAAAAATTTAAGTAAAAACTATAGGTAGCTGCTCACTATTAATCTTAAAATATAAAATAGCAGCAATTTTTAAACCTTTCTTTTGAGTTTCTCACGAAAAGGAGTATTTAAAAATCTACAATAAAAGATATACAGGACTTTGAATTTTGTTCATGGCATAAGCCCAGCAACCAGACGAACTTGCCAATGAGTTGTCTTAATGTGAGAGTAAGGCCTTGCTGAAAATCCAAACTGTGGGCAAGGGGGCACTTATTTTAATCAGGATGGCAAGTGTCACGCCAAGGACCTGCTCCACAAGTCTCTCCCCACACCAGTGTCATTTTTATTGCACAGAACATCCACGATGTAGTATACTGTGTAACCAGCTGCAATATTTTACTTTTGGAGTTTTGAGAAAAAGGGTCCCTTGACTCATGAGTATTATCCCCTAATCATTTACCACTTATAAAACCTTTGTGCTCATCTACTATTTTGCCATTTTCTCTAATATTAATTAAATTAGGTCATATTTTTCTACTATATTTTTCCTCACAAAAGGCAAGTTTTAAATAATGCCTTGTAAAATCTGTTACAACACATTTTATATTTATGCAGGATGAACTTAACACCATTTTTGCCACTCTGCTATTTATGTACACATATAAAATATATGATGCTCACACCCCATACAGCACAAAGATTACAATGTAACATCACACATTCACCACCAGTGAGGGGAGAAACCCCTTTATACAATCCTCTGAAAAAACTGGGCTAATAATTAAAATCCAAAGTACAGTATATTTAACAAAATAGTAAATATTAAACAGTGAATACTCTACTTAATAAGGACTTCGCCTTTTCCCCCCAAATTGGCGGCAATCCACAAAAATATACTTTTTAATCTGGTGACCATACAATACATAGGTACTTACATCAAAGGTGATAATATATTTAAGATGCTATATACACAAAGAGTTTGGCTCAACTTTTAATTTACATATAGAATAATAAGTGTTCATGGCTTTTTTTTTCCAAGGTTCTGCTTGCAAGATATTTGTTTGTTTTTTTCCCCTCTTAAAATAAAACTAAAAAGTTAAAACAAGATAAAGCTATTCTCTAAAAAAAAGTTACAACATACAGCTTTGGCTTATATAAATAATTCATAGCAGAATGTGTTCAAAAGTAGTGAATATAATTTTCTATATAGTCATCAATTCATAAGGGTGTTTTCTTTCATATAAAATATACATGAGCTAAAATCAGTTTCTTTAAGATATGAATGTAAAAAGAAACTTCTGACATATTCCAATTATAACTTAATACATTAATTTTATTTTGTTAATGCTCTATATTTCTAGGCTAGTATTTTGTGACTATCTCATGCGTGTTTGCTATTCTCTCTTTATTAGCTAAAGATCACTTCTTTGACCCAATAAATTTTTGCACGTGCAAAACAGTTATGTGTGGGGCTTTTTTGTTTGTTTGTTTTTTAATATCAACAGCCCTTTCCCATGCACCCCTTTGCAACAGAGACCCATGCCAGGTTGGGTATTAATATAAATGACATTTTATGTACAGTATTGCTTTCTTGATTCCTGCTTTTCTACTGCTCTGTTCTACAAAGCATTTTTCTGAAGTCACTACAGTCACCGCACAGTTAAATAAAACAAGTAGGGGGCCCTCTAGGTTTCTGCAAGCTAGTGTGGGAGAATTCTATATGGGTACATGATTCTCGCAAAAATTGGCTATCTTATGAAACAAGTAGTCCAAGGAAGTGCCAGACTAGTCTGTGCCTACAGAGTGCTTTGTATGCCATGGGACACACATCTGCAGACCTACAAGGAGTTTGCAGGTAAGTGCCTGATTCGGTATATGCACCACACACTCACACATACACACACTCACACCACATACATATATATGTCAAGGGATATATATGTATGTACATATAAATATGTTTAACTCATGACCTTATTTGCCAATGTAGATATGCAGGGCAGTTCACCGCAGTAACACATAGTACAAACATGAGTTGGAAACCTTAGGTCACCCATGCGTCCATCCTCATGCGCTTTACAGAAGGGCTCTCTCTGTCCTCAGTGTTTGGGGGTCGGCCAAGCACAACTGGAGAATGGAAGTCACCCCGCGGATCCTCACGGTCACTGCCATCATAGGAGCTACTAGAGCTGCTCAGACTGTCCACAGGGGAGCGTCCCATTTCCTGCCGGGGCTGGGGCTGGGGCTGTGGTGGTTGCGGTAGTGGTGGTGGCTGCTGCTGCTGCTGCTGCTGCTGCTGCTGTTGCTGCTGGAAGCCAGACGGGGTCATTCGATCCCGGGGAGGTGAAATTGGTTCTGACTTAATGTTGATGTTCTGGTTGGTATTAATGGATAAATTTGAACCCTGAGATAACTGCCCTCCAGCACTGAAAGAAAAAAGAGGTGAGATGTTTTGTGGGTGCATCTGCACTATTCACATGATGATCCTGCAGACACTGCCTTCTGGAAAGAGCCAAGTCTGAAGTCCTGCTGTAATTCCTCAAGACTGGTTTCGGGCATCTCCTTTAGTGTGTAGCACAGCATGACTGAGTCCTGTGTTCCTTACTCTGACTACCCACAACTGTACCTTAGCATCTCAAGTTTGCAAAATCAGTCCAGTGTCTGATCCTATGCTGTGCACGGTCTAGAAGACAGGAATAGCGTGGCAACCCGGAATCTGTTCACTGCCTCTTCCACCTTGGTATCTTCTCTGCTCTGGCCCAGTTTCAAGGCACATCAATCATCTATTCTTAAAACAACTCTCTCAAGCCCTATGTGCTTTCCTGTTTTGTTTTTGGAGATGAGATCTCACTGGGCCCAAACTCCAGGGCTCAAATAATCTTTCTGTCTTAGGCTCCTAAGGAGCTGGGACTACAGGTACATACTACTGTGTTCAGCTTCCAGGTCTATCTTCAGTGTTTTCATTTAGGATGCTCAGGGCAGGCCTGAGGGCTGAACAATTACGTGGCCAAAAATTTTCCTCAAGGTAATTCTCAATAAGATAGTGATAACTGTATGCCTAAGAAGTTCTTTCAGAAGGCAGGCAAATGGGTTTTCTGACTAGGAGGATGGGGTGTCCCTACTACATTGAGCAGAGATGAGGCAGTCAGCTAGGTCTGCTCTGCTGATGCCTCTTCTGTCTTGATCCATGGCCTACCGTTGTCCCAGTTCTTCTCTCCTGCTCAGGGAGTCTGTCTATCTTTCTCATCTACATCCTCATGCCCTGCCCTTAGGAATGCTCTTTGCAAATGAAGTACGGGGTGTGAACTGGGCAGGGCCTGACCATATGAACCCTATGGATCCTGATTCATACATGGGTACCCATCTCTGCTTTCCTCCTGTAAGAAGCTAGGATAAAGCAAAACCCATAGTTCATCTTCCTCTTCTGATTATCCCCAAAACAGAATTCCTCCAAACTGCCACTCTGAAGCAGTGGAGTTGGAAGCAGGCGTCAGGAGATAGGCAGGGAGTGCCTTAGTCGGCAGTCAGCAGGTAGATGGTGGTATACATGGGTGGCATTTGTACCTTGGAACCCCTTGGATACCAGCTGAGTCTCTCCACCTCACTCTGTCTGAAAAGGAAAGCTTTGTTCCCTGAACCCTTTCAAGGAATGCCTGGCTTGCTTAGCATCCAAGCTCTTATCTAAAACCATGGTAAGAAAATATTTTGATCCAATACTGTGTCCACCTAAAAAAGAATCACTGCAGCACTATTCATGTGAGAGAGTTTACAATTGATAGAAAAAGAGAATGAATAGGAGAGGAGTAAAAGTTCAGGGAAAATTTCCAGTACTCACACAAGAGAGCTGAGGGCTGCTTGTCCTAGAGAGTGCTGCTGCCAGGCTGACACCTGCCCCAGAGACAGCATTCCTGGAGAGTTGAAGCCTTGCAGGGCCGACAGGTCAGCGCTGGTCAGTGAGTAATCTGGAAAGGCAGATAAGACTGCTATGCTGGGGTACTGCCTATACAATTTGGGGGGGGCGGCTACCAGGGATCAAACTCAAGTTTCTTGTGCTTGAGGCAGGCGGCGGAACCACAGCTAAATCCCCAGCCCTACAATTGTTTGTTCATTTTTTTTAAAATGCCACCACTACCTTCTCAAACAGAGAAACACTGGTCCTCACCCAGACTGAATCTAGATCAGCAAGTCTTAAGGAAGTGCATGGAAACGAGAAGATGCCTACTCCCTGCTCGTGGGGTGACAAACTTAGTGATGCAGACATATTAAGCACATTAAGACTGTCACAGCTCTCTGCATCCAAAATGCTCTCAAGTCCATGAAGAAACTTGCTAGGACAGAAGACAATAATACAATTCATATTATGAAGGCTTTAGTTGTAATTACTGTAACCAGTACATAGGACGTTCGTTATCAGACACACAGAGATATTTTAGTTCATCATTAGCACTTGTCTTTTCCATTTAGTTCAAAAGAGAGGTGATAAAACTCTTCTATTTTAACTTTCTCATGTCTCAAGAGAGTCATTTAAAGAAGTTGGTCTTCCTAGTGAATTAACATATTTTAAAAAGAAACTGAGTTGAGGCAGCATAGTGGATGCTCAGGTTTCTACCAGGACTATACTTTTGTATTGTATATGCTCTAAGAACTCTCAGCAATCCTCCTGCCTCAGCCTCAGAGTGCTGGGATTCTAGGTGTGTCCCACCACTCCCAGCTTCTCTCTTGGCCCTTCTAACAACCCACTTGACATGTCCTTGTCCATGTCTTTCCAAATACCTCAAATTTGACATGGCCCAAACTGGACTCAGGTTGTCCTCTAAATGTGTTTCTCCTTAAATAATCTATACCTCGGTAAATGGCAGCAACATACACCCAGCAGCTCATGCCAGAAACCTATGGGTATTTCCTTACTGCTGCTGTTTTCTCTTGTCCACCACCAACCACCAAGTTTAGCCAGTTCTACCTCCTGTCTTTACCTGCACAGCCTTCACTGTTTCTGCTGCTACCACTCTACTCCATGCCACCAGCAGCTATTACTTGGGCCACATTGTTCTCTCGTGGTTTCTTGGCACTCACGTTTACTTCTATGGACAGTGCAGTCAAACGATCTTTTTAACACAAAAAACGTCCAAAATTTACAACACGGTTAACAGAACCCTATTTACCTCTCTGGTTTCCACCCTAACTGCTGCTCGCTCCCTTGAGATCAGGCTCCCTCTTTAGCTTGGCTGAGTCCTGCTTGCTCCTTCATGCAAGGCAGCCCTGGAGACAACATCAACAGATCTTTCCTAGAGCTGCCTGTCTTGTGCCTTTCTCCCCTGACAGACCCTATATTCTGTTGACTGCACTCTTGTATTTGCAGTGAACCTGTAGACCTGTAGATCACCTTCAGGAATTAAGTACTTTTTTTTTTTTTTTTGTACCGGGTTTGGAACTTGGGTCCTTGTGCTTGTGAGGCAGGCGGTGGAACCACTGAGCTAAATTCCTAGCCCAGGAATAAGTCTTGAAGTGGGGAGTGATATTACTGATGGGCCCTGAGGAAGTGTTCACAGAATTCATTCATACAGAATTATTTCACTTTTATTTCAAAAGCGGTCTATTTACTCCCCCCTTTACCTTCTGTCTGACATGTCTGGCACTAAGTATGTACAGAAAGGTGGACTATCTACTAAAGAAGACAGAAACATGGGTAAATATCTTAAAAAGTCAAATGACATATAAGTTTAAAGATAATATGGTAAAGCTAAACAGGTGTTCTGAGAAAGAGCAGAGACAGTCAAAGGGGAGGAGACTGAAGCTGAATGATGCATGGTTTCTAGGGGACCCAACTCCGCTATTTTAAGTGTTCTGACAATTCCTTGTACACTGTGTAATATATATATTTAATATTTAAAATTTTATTATATTAATATAAATGTACTTAATTTTCTCTAATCTAATGGCATTTCTAAAAATACGTATAGTGTAATTTCTAAGTACACTAAAACACCTACAATGAAAAAGGTCAGTGACTGCAGTCTAACTTTGATATCCAGGCTGACTCCATCTCCTCTGAGCATCCAGCTTCTTGCAGTCTCCCCTCCGCTACCTTCTCAACCTCAAAAGCACAAACTGGGGCCAAAGTTGTAGCCAGCCCAGATGTGTGAGGCCTGGGTTCAGTCTCTAGTACAATTAAAAAAAAAAAAAAAAGCAAAAAGGGGAAAAAAAAACCTAGGACTTCCCTTCTAAGATTTCCTTTCCTAAATAAGCTTGAGAAAAGATGCAG